GCTTATTGGGCAGATGAGTTATTATTACAGAATAAAAGAAAGAATAACAAAATATGGTGCCTTGTGCCACATAAACAATTAGTATATTTGGCATTAAAGAGGACAAGATTCTGTGGTTTAAGCTGTACCGGGTCTTGCATGGCAGGAGGAAGGAAGGGAAGGAGGAAGAGAGAGTGGGAGAAGGCAAGCAAACTCATACGGTGAGTCCTGTATCAGTCTGGCCAGTGTCGGCTGGACAGCCCAGGCCGTCACTGCCAAACCCTGAAGTGAATGAAGCCAGAGCCTGGCTTGGGGAGCTCACAGACAGGGTGGCTTGGGAAAGGCTTAGAGGTGGCAGTCAGCCTCGTGGGGCTCTGGTGGAAGAGAAGTCAGGCAGAGCCCTTCAGTTGCCTTTTTACTGGGCGCCATGGCAGGATTTGGCACAGAGGAGAGACTTCCATTTAAAAGGATCCACTTGGCTGTTGGGTGGAGACCAGACAGAACACAGTGGGGCAAGAGTCGAAGCCTGAGACCACCCAGGGGGTGCAACCCGGGCACCCCAAGGTGGGAGAAGTAGCTGAGTTCGCGTGTGTGCAGAAGGTGGAGCAGATGCGTTTCTTGCTGGTTTTGGGATGGTGGGGTAGTGGGGTGGTGGTGGAGGGTGTTGGAGGGAGAAGTCAAAGAGGAATCCAGGGCTGGAGACCAGAAGGTGGGGGCTGTGTGTGCAGGTGGGGCGGGCATGGACCCAGGACCTGGCACAGGGACAGGGAACCAACTTGGGGCCACTGGGCTGTGGTTTGAAGCCCAGCTCTTCCCAGTGCCAAGTTCTTCTGTCCCTTTTACCTAAATATCCTCCTCTGTAAAATGTGATTAATAAGACAAGCTGCCTCATAGATTTTTTTCACAGAATAAGATATTGTAACATATGTATAGTACTTAGATCTTGGCACATAAGTAAGCATTTGTCAAAAGCAAATGAAATAAACTTCTGAGCGGCAGTGTGGAGAAGGAACCACGGTTGGAGGGGGATCCAGGAGGCCCATGGGGTACTCTGGATCCTAGGCCTGCATGGACCAATCCTGGCACTTGTTGCTGCCTCAATCCAGTTCCAGGGCTGGGTGGGAAGGGGGGGACGCTAAGTTTCACCTGAAGCTTTTTCCTGAAGATGGTTTCCTGCTATCCTGCTTGTTTGGCAAGGATCTGAAACCTTTCTCTCATGGGCATTTCCGTGGGTCCTGCGGAGCCCTGTGTGTGGGTCCCACAGTGCATGGATGTATTTTTCCTCCTGCTAGCGAGTCCCCTGGGTCCCTGCTGTTTTGATGTTTTGGGGTGTCCTCCTTGGCACCTCTCCTTTTGGTGCCCATCAGGCTCTGGAAGCTTTGGGGTGGAATTAACCTAGCCTCAGGCTGATCTTCTCTCTTTTTTTTGGTACCGGGGATGGAACTCAGGTCCTCGAACTTACGAGGCAGATGGCAGAACCACTGGGCTAAATCCCTGGCCCTGGGCTGATCTTCTCTTCATAGCCCACTCTGGTCCACAGACACTGGGTGCCCACTGGGTGTGTGTGTAGAGGGATCGCTGGCTATGTGTGTGCGCTCTGCTATCTCAGGCCAAAGCCTTTTGATCTTCTTGTGTCCTGCAGTCCCTAGGGCTATATACAGGCTCCTGAAGGGACCCACGAAGCCCTTTTAGATTTAATGTGAGAGGTGGGAAGTGGGCATCTCCACCCTGGGAGGGATGACTCAGAATTCTAAAAGCCAAACCAAACCAAACCAAAACACCTTTCGGGTTATCCTGGCTGTTTTCCTCAAGTTCAGATATTTCACAGCCTCCTGGAGGTGAATTCTCTGGCAGGTTTTAGACACTTGAAGGAAGCTTCCAGAGTTCCACAGGAAGGGTCTGCTTCTCGGCTGCTTTGATATCTGATTGCCATCAAAACTGAGTGCTTTGATCCAAACTTGTAACAACGTTGTGTTACATAAGCGTTTCAAACCATAAATACCAAACTAATAAGTGCTTTTTCAGGCTCAGCAGCATCGTCCCTAGAGAACACAGCTGTAATGACTTTAGTCCTTTGAAGCTGTTGGGATCTGCTCTGAAACCAGCTGAAGGACAGTTTTGCAGATGACTCACGTGTGCCTGAAGTAGTCTTTCGGGTACAGGACTTTGTGTTAATCTAATAGAACAGCCTTCTTAATTATGATTCTGTAGATATTGCCATTCCTTATTAATACTCTTTCCTGATCTATTAATTACTAAAAGATGGATCTTTAAATCTTTCGCTACCATAGCAGATTTGTCCATTTCTTTTATTTCTGCTGACTTTGCTTTATCTATTTTGAGATTTTTTTTCAATGCAGCATATTTAGAATTATTGCAGCACCTTAACTAATTGCAGCCATTTTTATTTCTCCCAGTGTCTTTGTTTTGCAGTCTATTTTGGCTGCTATAAATATAGCTAGACCAGACTGCTTTTGGTTAGTATTGCTTGGTCTGTCTTTTTCTAGCCTTTCATGTTTATCTCCTCTTTGTATTTTTTTAAAGTATGATTTAAATAATTTTTATCTGAAAAATATTTGGTGTAGTCTGATCTGTTGTTAAAGCAGTAGGCTTAATTCATTTATATTTATTTGAATTACTGACATTTTTGGGTTTATTTCTGTGACCTTATTTTGTGTTTTCTACTTGTGCTTTTTCTATGCATCTTTTTTTTTTTTTTTTTAGATTTGCTTGAGATTTTTCCTCAATTCTTTTTTTTCAGAGTTGAGGATTTAGCCCAGGGCCTCTTACATGCTAAGCAAGTGCTCTGCTACTGAGCTACTGAGCCACACCCCCAGCCCTCTCAGTCCAATTTGTGTACTCTTCTATTCTTCCTATTCTTTTTTTTTGGTTCTGGGGATGGAACTTGGAACCTTGCGCTTGCAAGGCAAGTGCCGGAACCACTGAGCTAAATCCCTAGCCCTCTTCCTATTTTTTTTTTATTTTTTGAGTTTATGCTTTGTAGTTCAGACTATCCTTGAATGCCCTATGTAGCCCAGGCTAGCCTCCAACTCACAAAGATCCTCCTGCCTCTGCCTCCTCAGTGCTGAGATCGCAGGTATGCACCACCACGCCCCGCTTTTCCTATTTGTTTAGTGGCTACTTCGGGCATTTTAGTGTGCAGAGTTAACAAATTCTGAAGTCAATCAAGGCATTCAGGTTTTTCTAAATGTTATAAGGATGTGGAAGGCTTTCTCTTTACTTTCTCCACCCCTTGTCAGCTTGTATTACTATTATTTTACAAAGTTGTCCACATAAAGTCATTTAAACTCTGGAGTTTGGGGCCACAGGATCTGAGTCTGGAGTCCTCAATCTTTACTGATTAATTGTGTGACTTGGAAGAAGCAACATAACCTCTCTGTGCTTTAGTGATTTCACCAGTCAAATGGGGATAATAATTGCATCTGCTTCTTTAGCTGCCTGAGAAGATTCAATGCACAAGTTCATGTGAAGCTCCTAGAACTGCTTGTACGTGGTAAATCTTCAAACATGACTTGTGGGCCCTGTGTGGCTCAGTGGTGAGTGTCTACCTTCCACATGCAGGGCCCAGAGATCTGTCCCCAGAACTGGGTTAAAGACCATCGCCTTCATTATTTTACCTCATGATTTAGATACTGGCACTGTCACTGTAATGAATCCATGGCTATATTTACTCAGTTTGCCCTTTCTGTGTCTACCATCATTTCTCATTTCACAGGGCTCTCTTCTTCAATCATATTTTTCTTCCTTAAGAATGTTGTTCATAAGGTCACTGTAGTGAGGTTCTGTTTTTGGTCAGTTTTAGGCTGTTAGAAAAACATTTTTGTGGTCAATCTTAGAAGATGATTGTAATCCAGGCATGGTGGCACATGCCTGTCATCCCAGAACTCGAGAGGCTGAGGCAGGAAAATCACCAAGGGTTTGAGGCCACCTGGGCTCCATAGAGACCTTGCCCCCCCCCCCATTGTATTAAGGACAAATCTAGATTGACAGTTATTTTCTATTAGTATTTTGATATTGATCCATATTTTGGTCTTTGATGGTTCAGCAAATCAATTATTAATCTTTATAAGTAAGATCCCTTTAATCTCTGTTTTTTTCTTTTAAGTGGTATTGGGATTCAACCGAGGGCTTCACTTCTGCTAGACAAGTACTCTACCACTGACCTGCACTCCCCAGCTCCTCCTACCTTTTTCTTTGGTACCGGGATTGAACTCAGGACCTTATGCTTGCCAGGCAGGCGCTGTGCTGCTGAACTACATCCCCGGACCCTCCTCCTACCCTTTTTAAATTTTATTTTTGAGACAAGATTTTAAATTTGCTGGTCCTGAACTTGGTTGCAATCTTCCTGCCTCAGCCTCCTGGGTAGCTAGGCTCACAGGTGTATGGTGCCGTGTCTGCCCGTGTCCACTTCTAAGAGCTCTTTGTCTCTGCTGTTCTACACTGCACCTGGATGTGCCTAGACCAGGAGTTCTTGTCCTGAGATGTAGCTCAGCGACAGTGTGGCCTGCATGTGGACCTAGGCCCAATCCCCAGCACCACAATCCACAGTGGCTGCATTGCATTATTTAAATCCTTGCTATCTCTTGGGATTTGATCCTCTCTCTGGTGTTTCTGATGATTCTTCATCACTGTAGCTGATTTCCTTGTTTGTGCTTTAATCTGGGACACTGACATAAATTTCCTGAGGACACAGGTATTAACTGTCACACCCAGATGCTCTGGTGAATGTCCAGTCATTCCATCTCTGCAACATTGCAAGAAAATCTTACTCCTTTGGATGAAGAAACTAAAGATCAGAAAGGTTAAAAACTTATCCACACTGCCCATAAATCACAGAGCTGGGGGTTTGAATCCAGATCTATTTTACTCTGTAACCCTCCCCCTCCCCTTCCTTTCCACAACCCTCCAACCAGAGAGGAAACTGCTGCCTGTTATAAGCCATCCAGCACCCCACCTCCTTTGACTTGGGGTGCTGGAGATTTCTTCATGGTGTCCCACAGGGCCACCCCAAGAGATCAAGAGCCTCATGAAAGCTTCCTACACCCCAGAGGTGCTGGAGAAATCGGTTCGGGACTTGGAACACTGGCACGGCAGGAAGACAGATGACCTGGGTAGGTGGGACCATGGGTAATGGGAAGTGCATCTGCTTGCTCATGGGCAGGGTGTGCTAGCTCTGAGGCCCAGACAGCAGCCAGAACTGGAGAGGGAGCCCTGGGTGGACTTGGAGAGCTGTGGGTCACTGCTGGGCCCAGGCCCTTCTGAGGCTGCTGGGTGATCTGGGCTGGCTCCTCTTCCACTCTCTGTAGGACGGTGGCACCAGAAAAATGTCATGAGCATGAACTTGCAGAAAGCGCTGGAGGAGAAATATGGAGAAAAGAGTAAGTCCAGGGCCTCGAAGTACTAGATATGGCACAGAAGAGGCGCCCTCTGCTCAAAGAAAGTGCTAACAATAAAGAAAGGATAAATCGGAATCCTGCTCCTCCACTAGATGCCTTGCTTCATGCTGGGATGGGGACCAGAGAGTGGTGTTGGACAGGCCACCAGAGGAAGACAAAGCTCCAAGGGCCCGAACTATCCCCTAGACCTCCCTACTCCCCATTCTCTTCCCCTGTGATCAGGAAAGAATGCACAGGACCGTCCTTTGCCAGTGTACCTAGTAAAAATACCGTTCTCCTTCTTGCCCTTGATGGATGAGTCCTAGAGGGGACTGCTGGACTGTACCCTGGCATGCTGTCCCTAGCAGACCTCAATTATTTCTAGATATCCATTTCCCCCACCATGAACACTTGGATTTAGAAAAATTGGCTGCATACATTCCTTGCAATCTAGGGGTGGGTTTGATTGGTTCATGGCAAGTCTCCTCCTGACCTGTCCCTCATATAAGTGATTGGTTCAGCAATGGGCATGTGACTCAATGTGGGCCAGTGAGATGCAAGGAAAGGCGTGGGTGTGTGGTGCCTTCTGGGAAATTCTTTTCTGTCCTGGGGATGCTGTGGGAGCAACCCTCATTCCTGATGCCTTGAACAAGGAGCTGTGCAGCCATGTACACTGCCCCTGGCAGAATGTGTAGGACCAGAGGAACTAACCCTACCATGAACTTGTTAGAAGCTGCCCACTTGCCATCCTATACTATAAGCCTGGGCATCTCCTCCCTGTTTGAGCAGACAAAAGATCATTAATTAATGATGATCTCTGGTGTCAACAGGGAAGGGCCTTGGAGACTCGAACCCCAGGGAAGAATCCCCCACAGAAGGGGTTCCAGAGCAGCTGTCCTCACCAGTTGATCCTATAGCTTTCCACCTGGTGAGCCTCTAAGCCAGCAGCACTGCAACCCCCAGGTCACTGACTTGTTCTCCCAAGATGTGCTCTACTCATAGGACATTTTTAATTTTCTGTGTTCCCAACCTCACCTGGAACTAGTGGCTAAAAATACCATAATCATCCATTTGCTCCCAATTGTGCAAATGGGGCTCAGCAAGGCTTGCTCATTCCTGCTCCATGTGTTATCCGTGACACACATGCCTGAGCTGGGATGGGTCCTACAGCTTCAGTGGATACCTTCCAGCTGGCATGGGCACCACAGCTGTGATGTATACCTTGCAGCTAGGTTGGGTACTGCAGGTGGGGGCTGACTGGACATTATTCTATCACTGTGGGATCTTTCCCCAAGGCTGGCTTGGGTGTCTTCATGGTGTGGTAACCGGGTTCTAAGAAGGGGCATTTCAAAGTGACAAGGTTCAGTATGCAAGGATTTTATCAAAGTTTGGGGTCAGTTATTAATGTCCCTGTGGCTAAAGGGCCCTATGGTCAAATCCAGACTTTGTGGGAGGAGACCCTACAAGGATATAGCTACAGGAAGAAGGAGCCCACTGGAGACCACCAGAAGAGTCTGTTACGGTCATCGTCTTGCTTGGGAAAAGTCAAAGCAAAGGGAAGAATCAAAAATCACTGCCAAGAGAAGGGAAGCCATGTTCCTACATTTCTCCCAAACACCTTTCTCCCATAAGAGGGAATAACTTCAAGATGGGATTGGGCCAGGATGCCACGCGGAAAAGAAAATCTGACTAGATATTTACTGAGTACCTAAGTGTGTGATGGCTCAAGGCACAAGGTGGGTTCAGTTTGACTTCTCTCTGGGGTACCTACTTTCTGTGAGGAACTGTTCTTGGTGCTAGGAAAGCAGAACTTCACCTTTATTGAGCAGCTACTACGAGCCCAGCACAAAGACACACTTAAGTCACCCAACATGTTGTGGCTCAAGCTTGCTCTATACTGTTGAGACACAGAAATCATGCACCAAATGCTTTACACGCACAGCCTTATTTCATCTTGACATCACATCTTGTTATGAAGGGGAGGACAAGCTTGCAGAGGCCAAGTGAACTGCAGACAATTATACCAGTAAGAACCTGGGATCCAAGCCCAGCAATTTGTCACCAAAACCACTTTGTACCTTGCCAGGTAACTACTGCAGTGTTGCCAAATATCCACTGAGAGTCAAAGCCTCAGCCCTGTTAGGTGCTTCAGGGTACAGAAATATGAATACAATGCAGCCCTTGTCCTTGGGACTTTGCAGCATGAAGAGGAGCGATGTGGAAGAAGGTGGCTCTGAGGCTCATCCACCTGTGCGGCTGACAGGGAGTTCCATCGGCTGGGGAGACAGATAACTCAGAAGAAAAGGTTTATGCATGAAGTGGGAAATGTCATGGGACCAGTGGCAGCCCAGAGGAGCATGGGTGTCACCAGAGATGTGCTAGGGCCCTGGTCAGACTGTAGGCTTCACGGAGAGGCACCTGCTGAGATCAGTCTTGAACCGGAGTATGGGCATTCAGGACTAGAAGGGGGATAGCATTCCAGACAGAGGACGAAGCATGAGCAAAACCCAGCAGGGTCTACGAGGGATGATCAAAATATATGGTGAATGTTTAGATTTTTTAAAAATTATTACTGTAAAAGAACACTGCCTTAATCCCCTCAAATACTCCCTTTCACTTGAAAAGCACTTATCCCATCATTCTTGGCCCTTCTAAAGCTGTTCCTGAAGTCCTCCTTTGTGTCTTTATGAGGTGTGATTAAAAAATACAGTGAATGCTGCTCCCTAGTGCCATCCAATGGAAAGGCAGGCTCATAAAAACCTTACAGCACGTCCTCATTTTCCTTATTCACCAAACCTGACACTGTGCAACTTCTGGCTCTTCCCCAAGGTCAAAATGACCATGAAAGGTCAACATTTTGAGTTGATTCAGGACATCAAGACAGCTGTGACAGCACAACTAAAGACACTCACAAGAGAGGACTTCCAGAGCTGCTTCAGAACGTGTCAAGAACATGGAATAAGTGTGTTTGAAGTGAGGAGGAGGATTTTGAGGGGGGGTTAATGGCAATGTGTCTTTTACTATAATAAATATTTTTAAACACTTACTGTATTTTGGATCACACTGGGTATTTGGGGAGCTTCGACCCCAACTTTGGGAGGGAGAAATGGTAGACATAGCTTATGCTCAGACGGGAGGGTGGGGTAGGTGGTAGCTGTGAGTGTCTGTCATGTGAGATCCAGCCCTCCCTTCCCTGAGCTCATCTCTGGCTCGAACATAAAGGATTAGAAGCCACACAGGGAAATGGAAAATATGTTCAACATCCCCAATAACCAGAGATGCAAATTAAAACATATAACTCATTTGATTGACAAAATTAAAATGCAAGTGTAGCTGAGAATGAGGGAAATGAGACTCTCATGCATTCTATGAATTATGAGCAAAGAACAATAAGGGAGTATTTAGCAAAGTTGAAATTATATCTTACAGCCTAGAATTTCCATCCCTACTTAGCTGAGCGAGACTCAAGCATGCGCAGAGGGAGCCCTGCACACGCAGATCTGCTTTGCAGAGTCATCCACAATGTAAATCAGCCCGAGCAACTTTCAGCTGCAGGGTGGACAAGTCTAGTAATACAGGGCAATGGGAAGCAAGGGACTCCATTTACAGATATTATCATGGAGCCGTCTCACATGTCACAGTGGGTGGGGATGACGATCAGCAGAACGAACCTCACAGCAGGAAATACGCGCACACACACACACACACACACACACACACAACCAGTTTATCATTCATGGATGTATAAGAATATGGGAGCCAGGTGTGGTGGTCACGCCTGTCATCCCAGCTACTCAAAAGGCTGAGGCCCAGCTTGGGCAATTTAGTGAGACCCCATCTCAAAAATAAAAAGGGGAAAAAATAAAATAAAAAGGGGAAGTAGCTTAGTGTAAAGCTCTGGGTGCAATCCCCAGTACTGTATACACACACACACACAGACACACACACAGAGACACACACACACACAGTATGGAAGGCAGCTTGGAGCAATACTACTGAAATCCACCTTTGAGTTACATTTAGCTTATCACTCATCAGAAGCAGCCTTAAAAGAGAGAACTGCCAAGAAGTCTTCTGAAAAGGACTCGGGAGAAAAACTGACCTAGTGACAATGTGAGTGAACTAATTCAAATTTAAGTAAGGAATTTCCAATTTGACTAAGGGGAACAAAACGTGAAATGTTTTATGACTTTGCCCGTGATAGATAGATAGATAGGGAGATAGATAGATAGATAGATAAGGGGATTGATTGATTGATTGAGACAGGGTCTTGCTATGTAGCCCAGGCTGGCCTTGAATTTGCAGTGGTCCTCCTGCCTCAGCCTCCTGAGTGCTGGGACTAGAGGCATGGATTATCATGCCTGGCTTGCTCCAGTTAGAGATTCCATCTCTGAACATCTAGAGAGGCCCTTTTTAATTAAACATTATTTGGAGGAGCAAAGCTATACTTTTGGAAAAACAAATAAAAACATGTATTAAAATAATTTTTTTTCTAACTTGAAGGAGACCTTGCACCAAGATGGTGAAATTTACTCTGATCTTGAGCATTACAGAGGTCCCAGGACCAGGTCTGAAGTAGCATTCTTTCAAGCAGTGGAAACATTATTCACCTGGAATTCAGGCAGGATCTCATCTGCCTGTCATGTTCACAACTATATTCATAATTTCTGCCATGTCCAAGAGCCACCCAAGTAGATGCTAGGAAAAGCCATTCAGGACAGGCTGGGCTAGGGCAAGGCCGCTCAACCCACATAACTAGAGTCCCAGTCCAGCGCGCCCCCTGGTGTCAGAACTGCAAACCGCAGGTCCGGACTTTAGAAACCGTAAACCCACAGGGTACATGGCTCAAGAGAGGTGCTCTGGTCTTTTAAGTGCGTCTGTCTAGCCGTGCTTCTTTGCTCTCAGCCCACAGCTCCCTTGTACGGATGGAGACACTGAGGCTCAGTGGAAGAGAAGCATTCATGTTGCCTCCTTTGCCAACCCAAACTCGGAGATGAGGACACAGTGTCAGGCTGATCTGTGCCCTATTGTCCTCCAAGGAATCTCAGTGTCTGCAATAAGCAGAGGCCATCAGGAGCCGCAGCAAGCTCAGAAGGAGACAAGAGACTAGAGATACTGGAGTCCTCGGGAAGGTACTCGCCTCCTGCCCCGTGTGTCCGATGTGGCTCCACTTTGAGGGTAGTGACGGGGGGGTCATCGCATCTCATCGTAAGGATTGCCTGGGAAAATATATGCCAAGCCCCTGGCACTCAGCCAGGCACGGGCATATAATCAGTGTTTATGCTTTTCCTTCCCTGAGGCCCCGTTTCCTACAGATGTTTCAAAGAGCTCCGTGACATGCTAAGAGATGTTATGTGAAAAATTATCCTGTTGTCAAATGAATTTGGGTTTAAATAACACTATGGAATTCATTCAGAGCTTATCCAAACTTTGAATATGTTCCAGTTCATCATGTCACTCCAAATTATTATGCCTAGTTTTCATTGCTCCTCACCAGGCTACCACACACTGTGAGAATGGCTGCAATTATAATAATTCTATTCAAACTGCAGGTTTGGAAGCCTGGGGGTCAGCCCACAGAAGAGTAGGCTGGGTTTGGGGGTGTTAGATGCATTCCTATTGCTATAGATTGGATGTTGACTGTACCCTAAGGGTCGTGTGGTAAAGGTCTGCTCCTCAGAGAGGTTCTATTAGGTCACAGCAGACCCTGGGATTGTGGCTTAGAAGGGGATTTGTGGGACCCCAGGGTCTCTTTCCTCTTTGATTCCTTGTTGCTAAGTGAGCAGTTTGTTCTCTTTTGCTCCAGGTACTTCAGTGACATCTGGGCACCCACCAGAAGCCCACAGCATTGGGTCCACCTGGTCACAAACTGGAATTTCAAAAATCATGAGTCCAATCAAACCTTTTCTCCTTCCAAGTTACTTATATCAGGCATTTTATGATAGCAATGCAAAGCTGACTAACACAGATGTACAACCAGGATGCCCCTAATCCAGGCTCACAGAGAAGTACGCTGGCCCAAGTGCCAGGCCACTTTCTGTCATGGCCAGTGCTGTGACTTCCCATGTGGAGAGTGGGTCAGTGCAGTTGGCCCTGTGTATCTATGGGCTCTGATTGTTATAGGAAATGAAATAGGACCTCCAAATGATATAAGGGAAATATATCATCCAACCTGCTGGATGTCTGATACACCAAGTTCATGTTCTCTAAGATTGAAAAATGAATTTTAGGAACAGCAGAGGTTAAGAATAGGAAAGTATTTATTGAGAGGATAGCTTCTAGAGGCAGGAGGGGACCTGAATGGGTAGCTGGGGACCCTACTTTACAAGGAAGTTTTATAGAGCACAACCACATGGGTACAACGTGAGTTAAAGCTGTGATCAACCAATAAGGTTACAAGTATAGTCACTTAGGTAATAATGACCCAATGGGGAAGCAAGTCACATAGTGAGAGTATATGGAAAGAACAAAGAACTTCTCAGGCAGGTGATGGATCCCGGGTCTTGGTCACCACTGAGGTGACTGATGCCTATCTAGACTTTATTACATCAGGTGCTGTCATTTATCACATCACTTGGGGAAGTATGTAGACCTGCTCCTTTTGTCATCATCTTGATGCTTGTCCCCCAACTGATGTGTATCTGGCCACAGTTGTAGTGTGTTTTTACCTTTTGTCCTGACTCTCAAGGGCTCAGCCCTGTCTGATTGCCTTTTATATTTCTATTTAACTTAGTTGTCTATAATAAAGGGAATGGTTTACCAGCTGTTTCCTTTGCTCTTCACCTTGTCCCCACAGCATATCCACTTTGGCCTCATCTAAGCCCTCAAACATGTTCCTCATGCAACCAATCCCTAGTGATTGTAAGGGTCTTCCTCCCATGAGTTTTAACCTGTGAGCTCTGTTAAGTAAACATTATAGAAGTTTGCTGTTTTGGACCAGGCTTCTGCACTAGGCCCCAATAGACCAGGCTAAAATCAAAATGGAGTCACTTAGTGATGGAGACCACCCTGAGCCAGTTACAATTTTATAAATTGGATTTTCATATTAAAAGTATAAGTCTGCCTATTAGCCCACAATGGCTTGCCTGATGAGCTAGCAGTTGGTGTGTGGAAAAGAAACAACCCCCCATGCCACTAGTCACAGCAGAGGTGTCAATGATCCGTGACACTGTGACGTCTTGGATGGCAAGACAATAGCTAAGGGCAACTACACAAACTTCTATAGAAGCAAAAATTAATCTGTGGGAAAAAACAAATTTCCCATTAATCAATGATCTGTTCCTGCTAGAATGTTTTGTTCCTTTGTTGCTAGGACCAGTGCTCTCCACTCCACTGTTCCCTACACCATCCTTTATAGCTTCAAGAAGCTGTGTGTTCAATAAATAGTGGCAAGCTCCAGGAGACAGTGTCTTAGCCTGATAAGAGCTTTAACCATCCTAGGCCCCTTATGCAGTATGGATTTTGTCTTTTCTTTTGTTATCCTGGTTTAGTACCATTGGTAGAGTGATTGGGGTCAATAACAGGCTAAAGTTCAAGTCACCAAACTGAAACTAAGCAGTTTATCTGACCTTCCAAGAAACCAGGAGAGGTGAGAGATGACTATCAGATTTCCCAAACAAGCCAGTTTCAATTGGCTGAGTTCCCTCTGCCTTAATCTTTTCACAAAAAAGGAAGGAAGGAAGAAAGCAAGCAAGCAAGCAAGCTGTTGTTAATCACTGTTGGGAACAATGCTACATAATTCTAGGGAAAAATCATTTGAGTAGGCCTGGTTCTCCGGCCTACAGGCCAGCTATAACACTCCAAGACATAATTCCATTTTGGCCTCAGGTCACAAGGGAGATCTCAATGATCCCGTGATGCTGTAATCCTCCAGGACAAGACCACACCTGCAGGAGACCAAATCTTCATCTGCATAGTTCCTCATTGTTCTTAGATTTCTGCTGCCCCCACCCAGCCTTTTGTTACACCTTGTTTATCCCAATGTGAAGTACTGAACTCTATATTTCACTTGTTACATCTATTTCCCCATGTACTGAATAAAGGGTGCTGCAAGCTAGGGATCTTTTGTCTTTGCCACCCAGAGCAGCACTGATCAGACCCAAAGCTCAGCTTCTTCTCAGTCTCATTTGTCCACCTTTCCTGTAATTCGCTGTGTGCTGCCATGGCTCACAGGAGACTAGGACTTAACTGCAGAGGCTCTGGTAACGTCCCTTTCCCCTGTTCCCTACAAATCACTTATTTTCCTGTTGGGAGCCATTCTACATAATTTTGGGGGAAAAATAATTTCACAATTAAATTATGAGTGGGGCTGTCTGAGGCCTCAATAGTCCTGTGATGCTGTGATGCTCAAGGACAAGATTATGTCAGTTGAAGACATCCTGGGTCTTTGAGAACCAAGTAGAAAGATTTCACCTGGGGAGGGACAAATTCCTTACCAGTTTAACTCATCCCACCTACTGTTGTAAGAACGTTTTTTTGCTCATCTTACCTTCCTGATCAACATAAATTCCTCATCAACCTAAGATCCTCATCAGTGTAAGATCCTCATCAGCATAGTATTACCACAACCCTCTGATTCATCTGATACTCCCTATGAACCCAATAAATATTGGCAAGTTTGGAGTGCCTTTGTCTGCTGCCCACAGCAGCACTGATCAGGCTCCAAACCCAGCTTCTTTTCTAAGTTTTGTTTCCTGTCTTTGTTTTTTAACTTGCTTTGTGTTGTAGTGGCTCACAGGAGACCAGGACCCACTGCAGGGGTACTGGTAATGTCCCCTTTCCTGTTTCCTATATTTTCCTGTTGTTCTCTTTCCCTATTCCCACCTTACAAGGAAAGGAACTTTGAAATGACCTATCTTAGTTTTGTTTTGTTTCTGCTTTCTTCAGCTTTTCTGTGTCTATAAAACCAACCTCCTCTCCCTGGCTCAATGAAGCACTTAATGCTTCCTAATTCTACAATTGAAAATAAAGTCAATTAAAATCTTCAAACTAGTTGAGTGTGGTGGCAAATGCCTGTAATGCTAGCACTCAGGAAGCTGAGGCAGAAGAGTCACAAGTTCAAGGCCAGCCTGGGCTACATAGCAAGACCCTGTTTCAAAAATCCAAAGTCTTTAAAGATCTTCAAACTTCACGATGTAGTTTTATCCTTTGACCCTTGGTAAGCACTAGAGCTGGGATTTGATCCTAACTCTGAAGTCCAGGCCCTTAACCGCTAGGCCACATTGCTCCAAGGAAACACAACTATGGTTTTCTCAGGAATTCAGGGGTCAAGCCGAGGCTTCTAGAATGTTCATATAAAGAATCCAGAGGAGGAAGTTCACATGGGGATTTTCATGTTTGCTGCTAATCCTTAAATGCTTCCTAATAATGAAGGGCCAGAAGCTTTTAAAGGCAGGCAAAGGAGGAGGAGAAGCTGCAGATACATTTGGTAAGGTTTGATTAAGAGCCAGGAAAGTGACCCTGAGTCACATTTGCAGGCAGCCACGCATGCCTTGGGTCTTAGACTGTGAACCTAAAGTCACTGCACCACTGAGCTCCCTACCTTAAGGAGCATGAGGGCAAAGGCAAGAAGGTCTTTGGAGACATTCCCCTTATATTCCTTTAACAAATGGGGAAACTTCAATATGTGCTTCATCAGTGATGGAGATGACTATTACTCCATAGCAGCAATTTGCAGAGAATGGGCTTATAGGGTTATTCAGTCAATTCAGAGACTTGGAAAGTTCTGTATTATGATCTGGCTGGCAGAATTAACTTTTTGAAAATGTTTTATACAGGTATTTGTATTATTAAATTTGGAACCACAGTCAGAAGACTCAGATCATAATTGTCTACTTTTCTATTTCCTTAACTACTGCAATTTCCACCTTTATAACAATTTTGATTTGAAAGACAAATTTATTTTTTCAGCAGTCAACAATTATTCCTGTGTAGTCCGCAGCCTTTAAAATGATTGTGCTGCTTTTAGGACACTAAAAAATGAAAGCTCTAGAAGTTGAAATCATGGTGCAGCAAGATCGAAGTGATACAGTTAATATAGAAAGTGCTACAGCCTCTCTATGATAATAGTTTCCTAAACGCAGAGACATTTGGCTACATCCACATAGACATTTCTATTTTTTCTTAATGAAAACTTGTTTTTTTGGCATTATTCATAAAAGAAATGATTTTTATTCCTCTTACCTGATTCTGTAGTTGTAAGATGTATCATGGGTATTGGTGCCAAACAATGGATTGTAAGTAGCATGATAATTTTTTTTAAAATGCGTAAACTGAGCCACACATAGAGAAAGAAATTAATTGTCAAGATCCAGAGGAAGTGAGAGGAAGAACTGGGATTAGACTCCCAGCCTTGAGGACCTTTGCAGTGGGGAAAACAGGTCTCCACTCTCGGGGATTTTTCCTCTGGTGACAGTTCAGCTGCCAAACAGACTTGAGGTGCTTTACTGGGCTTGGGGTACAAGAGTCTCCTTCTAGAAGTGGTTTCTAGTTTCTTTCTGTCCTGAACAAAAATCTAGTCAAGACAAGTGCAAAAGGTAGAGAGGTTTTTATTTATTAAAGGTATGAAAAAAAAAAGAAAAAAGAACGTGATCTACAGAGTGAGCTTGGGCCAGCTAAAAGTAGGAAAAGTGATTTTCTCTACAGGGTGAGAGCAGATCACTGTGAAAGAGAGCACAGTGGCCAGGAGGTCAATGGCAGATCTTTTGTATCTCTCATCCACAAGCTGACCTCAGGTCTAGGCCCCCTATCAAAAACCTGCTCAAGTTCTCAAGAGAACACCTGAAGACAGCACTCTCCGGTTCCAAGTGCAGGGCTCTGTCTGCTCATGTGTCCTGGAACTTTGTAATTGACAGGTCCTGCCCACTTCTGCAGTCAGTTTGCCACGCCCTTATCGCCTGCCTGTCAGGTAAGTGATTTAAGGGTCCTCCGAGCCTCAGGGTTCCTTATCTATAGACTGGGGATGTCAGAACCTGTATCACAGGGCTGCTGTTGGGGTGCATGCATCAAGGGGTCCTAACTGTTGCATCTGCAGCTGTGCCTGGCTCAGAGCAGGTGTTGACAGATGGGATTTTGCCACAATCCCTGTGCTCCCCAGGGATCATTAAAAAAGAAAGACAGAGAAAAAGGAAGAACTTTTCAGCAGAAGCAGAAAAACTGAGAGGAGTCAACAGGGTATGGAAGGCGACTCCAGGTGGAGACTGGACAGGGCTAACCCATCCCCATTACACGCTGCAGCCCTGTTCCTTCCCAGCTGGTTGCACAGGGAGAAATAAAGCAAGCAAATGACCCAGCCTTCAAGAAGAGCCCCTGGGGACAGAGCCAAAACCACTGGGGACAAGCCTCCGAGAGTAGCCTCGGATTTGGAATTCCCTAGAAGCAGAGCGTGTGCAAAGAACTCCCAGGTCAGGGTTGATGCCTGCAGGGAGTGGAGAGAGAAAGAGAAAGAAGGGGATGATAAGGGCTGGGGATTTAGCTCAGTGGTTTCGCTGCCTGCTGCGCAAGTGCAAGGACCGGAGTTTGATTCCTGGTACCTAAAAAAAAAAAAAAAAAAAAAAGAAGGGGATGATAATATGTATATTACTAAGCAACTGGACTCAATTTCCCCAGGGGCTCTGGGCAGTGGCGTGGCACAAGGGAGGGGTGCGGGGGGGGAGAGTGGTTCTGGAGCGCCATCTCCTGACACCAGCTCGGCCCAGGGTCCCCATGGAAGCCAAGGTGATGTCTGCTGGGCTGTGGGGCACCACAGAATGGTACAGGTGGAAGGAACAGCGTCAGAGGGAAGCACAGCCACACAATGAAGGGGTGAAAGTGAACTTTTATCCAGTAATCGCTGCCAAGGGACAACCTTATATAAGTTAATGAGTTGGCTTTATTTTCAGTTGTAGAGTCTGGCACCACTTCATGCCATAAAACACAATAAGTTCTAATGAGCCAGGCAGAGGAGGTTGGTTTTCACACAGAAAAGGGCGGATGAAAGACACTTTCCTTGTAAGGCCAGACAGGGAGATAGAGCAATAGAAAAATCACGGATTAACATCAGACTACTTCAGGTTCTCTTTTGTGTGTAAAAGGGTTAAGGCAAAGGGAACTTCTTTAATATGCCAATTGAAACTAGCTTGTAGGGGAAATTTGACGCTTATCTCTCTAATCCCAACTCATTGCAAGGTCAGGCAAACAACTTAGTTATAGTTTGGTGAGGTTGAAGTTTAGTGTGAGTGACTCCATTTTGATTTTTAGCCTGATCTGTTGGGGCCCAGTACAGGAATTTAATCCACAACAATGGCCTCCTGCTGTTTTATTTTATTTTTGTTTTATTTGTGGTAGGGTCCTACTATGCTGCCCAGACTGGCCTCGAACTCTTGAGCTCAAGTGAGTCTTCTACTTCAGCCTCCTGAGTAGCTAGGGAGTAGTTAGGTCTACAGGAGCACACTGTAATGTGTGACTTATAATTTTCATTTAAAATTATAGTAGGGCAAAGAGACAAGCTCCTTTTTGATTTGCAAAGGCGTTTGAAAGGGAGGATGAGGGTGTTAAGGGAGAGAGCAGGGACTCAAGGGAAAATATGAATGGCTGATGAGTATCAAGGTGAATGGCCATCGTGTCTGCTCACTGGTTATTATCAAGGTTGGGATGCTGTCCTCCCCAAAACTGGGAGACAGCAAGGCCCAGTGCTTCCTGATGGTTCTGTTTCAAAGGAATGGCTTTCAGGTCCTGTGAGTTGTAGGAGATCCATATCCATGCTGGGGACAGAGGGAAGATTCACCACTGTAAATCCCTCTTAACCAGAGCTCTAAGAATGGGAGGTCAGTGGCCCAAAGTGTAGAGTTGGCTGGAACATACAGTACAGTAAATCCTTGCGGAGTTGGGCCTTCCCAGGCATTCTAATGGGAGGTAGGGCCATCCTAGGGACATGGCCTTGTGCTGGTAGAAGCCATACTAGAGTTGGGTCTTCTCAGAGTGCAGAGGTTTGGACAGAGTGAGTATGTGCCAAGGCCCACTTCTTGCTACTCCTCATCTGCCCAGAGTCCTGACCACGAGGAACACAGAAACCTGCTGTCTCTCACACATATGCACAAATGCCCACAACATGTTGAACATGCACTTAAAGACTTTAGCCTAAGGAAGTGTACAGGCACACATCCACAGGCATATATCAACACAATACACAGCAACATACATACGTGTACAATCACACAGCAATGACACAGAAGCATTGCCAGCTCACATACACAGGCAAGGATGAAAGCAGGGTTGGAGCCACAGCTATGCAACCTCTGAGATTGTGCAGGGCCTCGTGCTCAGGACTACAGCTAGGTTTAATAGTCTACTGTCACAGTTTTGAAATTCATAATAATTTTGGAAAAAGTGGCCCCACACTTTCATTTTGTACTGGGCTTTTTGCGTACACATGCACGCTGCCGCGACACGCACAGCGTGGGGTCCAAAGCCAGGGGGAGTGGTGGGAGATGAAGAAAAGTCGACAAAGACCAAGATTACTCTTAGCTGGGACCAGATGGAACCATAGCTTGTCGGGAGTTAACGGCAGCCTGGGGAACCATACACTTTATTTATAGTGGAAGGTAAACAGGAAGAGAAGGTGGGGCAAATGGTGCTACATGGCCTCCGTGGCCTGGGCAGATCGTAGCGTGATTGTTTCGTTATTGGGGCATGAACAAGAAGAGAACAGGGAAGGATACACTGTAACTATCTCCCAGGCTGTGCCATCCAGGGTCTACAAAATGAGTGTGTCTGTCTGACTCTAATCTACGGAGGAGAAAGGGTGCAGGAAGGAGAAAGGGAGCGGGAAGAGACGAAGAGTCCTCTTCAGGCTTGGCCGGTGGCAGCACGCACTGGCATTCTCTATTTCATTCTGTCTTGCTCTTCTCAGGCTGTCCTCACACTGGAAGATCTGATCCTTAGTTCTGAATCCTCAGGGCTGTAAAAGAGAACTTCAAACTCCAGCTGGAAGGGTGGCCTCTGCGGAGAGGGCTGGAGGTAATGTCCGACGCGGACCTCTAGGTGGCAGCACCATGCCGAGCCAAGCCTTGGTGAAGGCAAGGACGGAGGTGGGTGGGGCCGCAGGAAATGGGCGTTCTTGAGTTACTGATGAAATCTACTCTTTTCCAGAAAGTATAGCAGTTCCCCGAAGTAAGAGCCTGGAAGGGATTAGCTCATCCATTCTATTGCCAATTCATCCCCTGCCCCTTCTTTTGCAGCCTTGGGGACTGAACCTAGGGCCCCACACATGCTAAGCACATGGTGTACCACTGTGCTACACTCCCAGCCCTGAAATCTTTTTAAATAATTTTGTTTCTTTTTTCTAAACATCTGATTACAAATGCAATTCATTTTGTTATAAAAAAAATAGTACACATACAAGAATTAAAGTCATCCATAACTTGACACGTTGGTCCTTTTTATAAAAGGATATGAAAGAAAGTAGCCGCACCTCCTCTCCTCCCACAGGCTTGAAATTTTTCTCTTCTTAGGCACCCACACATATTTCTTATGTACTCATAGAAGCACACATACAGGTTAGAAAAAACGGGAATGGGGAAGTGCCTAAGTGCATGTAAATAAATGGAATGAAGAAAAGCTGGAAAAGCACCAGAGGGTGCAGAGCAAGACAGTATGAGGGGCACTCCTGGCTTTGGGAGCCCCAAGGCCAGTGGTTGCTTGGTGTCACCATCCTGGCACTGCCTACTGGCGTCTGGAAGCTGGAGCAACTCCAGCCTGCCACTGAATGGCCAAAGTTGAGCTGAGACTGTGTCTTGCCAGGCATAGAGAGGTTTTTTACAGGAAGAATCAAATTATCAATTTTAGCAAACTGATAAATGTATTTGTGGTTTCCAATTTGAATGGTGTTTTTTATTTGTTTAATTGCTGTGCTTAAGACATTTCTTGTGCATTGCAAATTCTTGAATTGTAATTGCAGGGTTAACTTGCTCTTTGGTCTCTGTTGGTTTAAGAACATTGATTCAAGGTTACTAGAAGTCCATTGGCAGCCAGTCAAATTTAAAATGTAACAGTCTGAGAACAAAGAAAAAAAAAGGGAGGGCTGGGGATTTAGCTCAGTGGTTCCGGTGCCTGCCTCACAAGTGCAAGGTCCCGAGTTCGATCCCCGGTACCAAAAAAAAGAAAAGAAAAAAAGGGAGAAAAGGACACTTTAAAATCCAAGCAGCTGCGGCCAGGTTTGTTATAGAAGGCTTATAGTAAATGAGATGGAGAAAAATATTAAGAAGGCTATAAGCATGAGACATATTTATGATATAAGAGGACTTCATATGATAGAAGTTTTGTCCTGCTAGAGAGATAAAAAGAGAGACAATGACAAGACTGGAAAGCTTATGGATGTCAAGGAAAAGCTTTTGGAAGTAGTTTGTCAAAGGAAATATGTAGACTTACTTGTTAGTTTGTTGGAGCTCAGGTTGTTCCTGAAGCAAAAGTGCTTGAGAGAGTGGTTTGTGTTGTAACAGAGTAGATATGGGAGAAAAAGTGTGGAAACTCACCCCATTAAAATGTATGTTAAGCCGGGGATTTAGCTCAGTGCCATGCCTGCCTCGCAAGTGCAAGGTCTTGAGTTTGATTCCCAATACTGCAAATAAAAAAAAAAAGTATGTTAAAAAAACTTTAAAAGAGGCTTTAGAGGGGACTATGGAGGAAAGTTGACCCCCTAAGAGTTGAGAACTCTTTATGAAGCAGATAAGCCCTCCTTTGATGTTAGGTGGCCAGCCAAAGGAACCATAGATAGGAAAACAATTGGATGTGTACACTGGGTGGTGACTGAAGACAGAGGATGGCTAGGGTCTCCCGACCAATTTCGTTACATTGATTCATGGCTAAATATATTGTAGACCCACTTGGTTAATGCCATGTTTAGAGGCTTATTGTAAAACACTTGTGCTCTGAGCTGAGCAAAAGCCAAAAGGAGAAAAAAAAAACTCTCCCAGTAGTCTCGGAGACAAAGTGGGGACAACAAAGATTTAGAGGTGGCCACCAAAATATACATTAACCTCAACTGGGAAGCAAAGCAGGGGACCGACTGGAGGCTCAAAAGGAAGCAGATCTGTTGGGAGCAGCACCCACGGAGAAAAAAACCTCAGATTACTAAGGAGCAGGGGTGCAAACATGGGTAAAACAGGAGCCAAACAAAGCCAGGATCTACCAGTCAACCAAAGCTAGATTGGGATCAAAGTGCATGATGTAAAACAATATGGACACTGGAAAAATGAGTGCCCAGAAAATGATGACAGAGATGATAAAAATTCCAAAACTAGGAGGCCACCTGCAAAAGGCTATCACTCTGGGGAGAAACCAGAGCTGGCCTCATTGGACTGGCAGGAATTGAAGGTTACAGGAACTAGGCAAGATGAGGTCCCATCTCCTTAGGCCCCCAGGAGCCCATGAACACAATGAAAGTAAGGGGCCAATTGATGGACTTTCTGGTAGATAGTAGAGCCGAACACTCAACAATAACTCAACCCATTGGACCATTATCCAAAAAACATGTGACTATTGTTAGGGCCACTGGGGTCCCAGAGAGGAGGCCATTTTTCTGGTCTAAAAGGTCTTAGGGAAAAAGAGGTCCAACATGAGTTCCAGTATCTTCCAAACTGCCCAGTTCCCCTGCGGGGAAGAGACTTACTCCACAAGTTATAGGCTCAAATTGCCTTTGGGCTGCAGGAAAGGGTGTCTTTAAGTTTGACTCACCCAGACACCATGATATTGACCTTTACCGTCCCATAGGCTGAGGAATGAGGACTGTATTTAGATAAGCTACCACAACCCAGAACAAATAAACTATATGAGCTGGCACATAAGATTCCTGGGGTATGAGGTGAAGATAATCCACCTGGGCTGGCTATAAATCAAACAGCAGTGATTGTAGAACTAAAACCAGGGACAATTCTGGTTCAAGTCTGCCAATGCCCCCTTCCTCAGGAAGCCATACAAGGCATTCAAGGACATTTAAAATGGCTCTTAGAACATAGAATCTTGACAAAATGCCAGTCATCCTAGAATACGCTGCTTATGCTGGCACCTAAACCAGGAAGTAATGAATATAGACCGGTGCAAGACTTATATGCTATAAACTGAACCCTAAAACCATATACCCAGTGGTAGCAAATCTATACACATTGACGGGACTTATTCTGGCAAGTGCTGCCTAGTTTACTTGCTTAGATTTAAAGGATCCTTTTTTCTGTTTGTACCTCACATTGGTCAGTCAGCCCATCTTTACATTTCAGTGGAAGGATCTTGTCACAGACATAAAAGAACAGCTAATCTGGACTAGGCTTTCCCAAAGGTTCAAAAATTCTCCTACAATCTTTGGAGAGGCACTGGCCACAAACTTCAAAACTTTCATCACATCAGGAGACATGTGCACCCTGCTGCAGTATGTAGATGCCCTCCTACTTGCAAAGGACTTTAATATTGATTATGCCCAAAGCAGGCTGTAAAGAGTTAACTCCACAATTGGCTTGTTTATAGAAGTGAGTCTGACTGAAGCCTACGTGCCAAGGTCAGAGTAACTCACATCCAAATTCCATTCCCACAGCTAAAACCTTCTGACTAGAAGAACAATGTTCTAATTACAGCCACATATTTTGTCTGTTCTGTTTCTAATTCGAGAATGCTTTGTCTTGTCCTTTATGAGCCTTGTTTACATTAATTTCCATAGAAACCACATGTAGCTTGCCTTTACCCCAATTGATTCCCAATAAAAATCAGTGCCTGGGACTGGCCAGTGCCTTGGTTGGTTGCACAAGCATTGGTTGCCCTGGCACCCCGCTTTCTCTCTCTTAGTTCTGTCTCTTAGTGTATTTTTTTCTCAGGCCTGCATCGTATACTGGGCATGTGGGTACTGGAACTTAATTGCAGGGGTCTTTAGCACCTATTGGCAGCCCCTACCTGAGAGGACTGCTATCAGAAACTAAAGATCTCCTTTATTTATTTGGGGGGACTAAATATAAGGTAGCCAAGAAAAAGACACAAATTTGCCAAAAAGAGGTCAAATATCTAAGTCTCATAATGGTCCAAGGAGAGCATCAGGTAGGCATAGAGTGGGAGCAAGCTGTTTGTGCCCTCCCAACCCCAACCACCCAGTGCCAAATAAGAGAGTTTCTGGGGGCAATGGGATTCTGCCATATCTGGATCCCAAATTTCTCATTTATGACCAAGCCCCTATATAGAGCCACAAAATGGGGGAACAAAGAGCTCCTCCTCTGAAAATCTGGCCAGGAGAGAGCCTGTAAGTAAATCAAAGAAACCTTGACTCCGACTCCATCCTTAGGACTGCCAGATAGAACCAAGCCTTTCTTCCTGTATGTCCATGAACAAAAAGGAATGGCCATGGGAGTCTTAACCCAGGTCATGAGATCCTGACATGGTCTAGTGGCATACTTGTCAAAACAGTTAAGACTCTGTGGGCCTAGGATGGCCTCCGTGTTTCAGGGCGATGCTTGAGAATCAATGTCAAAAGCATTCAGTCAGCCATAGAGACTTGGATTAACAGACACACACCACCCGACTCATGCCTCTAACCAAGTTCCAACCTCTTTCTTCTCAGTAGGCAGCCACCACCTTGTGACAAGAAAATTGATAATAATGATGACGGTGCTCTCTGTTAAAACTTGTCATAGAAAGCATCAAAGGGGGGAATGAAGCAGGACTTGAAGAAAAACAAGTTTTTCCCAGCCTTGGGCCAGCTCCCTATCACCCCTTTCTTCCCTTGTTGCTATAACTCTTTGTCCTGGTACAGATAAAGTTGGCAATTATGTCCTGTGAACAGCTTGTCATCTTGTTCTCACAAGATTCACAAGGCTCTGTCTTCGTTCAAGGCTAAATTACAAAACTGTCTGCTCTTGTCCTGTACGTCACTAGAAAGACCAACCCCTTTCATCAAGTTTATGAAAACTAAAACTTTTCTTTGTTTGACACTCTTCCCCTGGACATTGGTCTGTTGAGCCAGTGTCCACCTAAAAAAAAGTTCCCCTGTTTTCCAGTGGTCTCTCCTGCCTCTTAAATCTTGGAACAGTCTGGCTTGTTTCCCCAGTGGGATGCTCTTGAATAAGATTTGAAGGCAGGAGGGTGGGGATTTAGCTTGGTGACACCACTCCTACCTCACAAGAGCAAGGTCCTTAATTCAATCCCTGGTTCTGAAAAAACAAAACAAAACAAAAAGATTTGAAGGCAGTTCATGCACAAGTGCAATTCCAGCAATGACTTAGGACCTCTCAGAAAGCATCCTTGCTCTGGAGTGGTTGATGGATCAGGAAATATCTAGGGAGATAGTAGAGCATCACTTCTGGGTGTGTCCATGAGGCTGCTGCTAGAGGAGATTGGTGAGTGAGTTGGTGGGTTGAGTAGGGAAGATACACCCACAATGTGAGCAGGTACCAGACAGAACCAGTTGGCTAGAGTCCCAGAAAGAGCAAAAAGGCAGAGAACAGAATTTCCTTTCTGTCTGCTGGACCTAGGACACACTCTTCCTGGCCCTGACTCCAGGACTTGCAACAGTGGCCTTCCATATTCCCAGGCCTTGGACTGAGAATCACACTGTTGACATTTTTGGATCTGGGGCCTTTGCACTTGGACTGAGCCATGTTTTTGGCATCCCAGGGACTCCGGCTTGCAGAGAGCCCCTTGTGGAGACAGCCTTCATAATCAAGTGAGCCAGTTCCCCTCACCCCCATCCCTTACCCACCCATTCATTCTGTCTGTCTGGAGAACCCTGACTAACACAAGGCGATACTTCTTCCACCCCCCTGGTGGCTTCTCTGCCTTTTACTTTTCATGTTCTTTTAATAGTTGTTCTGGTTTGAATATAGGAATCTGGAATTGTATTTTTGATCTTATTAGATCTACAACCACAGTGCCTTCATTGCCAGTAGGAATGGGACTTAGTTCATGGGCTACACTGGCAAGTCAATTACTTAAATTGGCACCTCTAATTGTTAGCAGTCAAGTGTCTGTGAAAGGCAACACCTTGGATAACAGGCAGCTGTGGTAATAAAAAAATATGGTAGAATGAGCTGGACTCTTCCTCTTCTTTTTTTTTTCTCTCCAGGTTGAGACTTACATTTATTCTCCTATATCACATGAACTCCTCATCAGATACGTGGTTTACAAGTATCCTTGCCCATTCTGGGCTGCCTTGAGGGTGTCCTGTAAAGCATGCAGAAAGTAGGACATAGGCCGGGGATTTAGCACCGTGGTTCCGCCGCCTGCCTCGCAGGCACAAGGTCCTGAGTTCAATCCCAGTTACAAAAAAGAAAAGAAAGTAGGACAAAGTGAGGCAGCTGGCGTGCCACTGAAGAAAGGGCAAGCGTTTCTGTCCGTGCCAACACAGGGAGACCCCCAGTATACAGGCAGAGACCTCTGGCTAGCACAGGGGCATGGGAAGGACAGGACGCTGCGGGCCGGAACAAAGAGGGCACTGGGCTGGTGCAAACGCAGGGAGCCCCAACTGGAGCCTAAGGAATCAGCCTCTTGGTTTGGGGCTGTTCAGGCGTTCGGTGGAGTTGAGCCCTGAGCTCAGGGCAATAGGAGGCCGCAAGGGGTCGGGCTACGATTCGGGGAAGATGCCTGGGCGCCCCCACCCTCCTCTGCCACCCTATCCCAGTCCATCCGCCCGGAGTCCTGGCCCGGCCCGACCCCTCGGGGTCCCCGGTGGGGTCTCCAGTCAGTCACCTTCCTGTCAATTCCCGCCTTGTCCTGGTCCTGGGTTCCTGTGGCCACATCCCCGCGCTAGAAGAGCCGCCCCTGCCCCGGGAGCTGTGACGACTCCTCCTCCCCCGCCCCGCCCCCTTCTTTCTTCTTTCTTCTCCTTCCGGGATCCTGTGCTTGCAGGGCAGGTGATGGCACCACTGAGCTAAATCCCCGGCCCCTTGGATTCTTGTGATGATACTTGTGTTGGACAACTGTCCTGTTGCTGAGGCAAAATGTCTCACATACATAATTTAAAGGAGGAGATGGTTTATTTGGCTCACAGTTTCAGGTTGGCTAGCTTCAAGGCAGCAGCATCATGGCGGAAGGGCACGCTGAAGTAAGGCTGTCCAGGAAGCAGATCACATAGGAAGAGCTCTGTAAAAGATACACCCTCCTGAATCACACCCCAGGGACCCACCTCCTCTAACTATGCCACACCTCCTAGCAGCACCTTCAGCAGTGATTCAGCAGATGATTATAGGGTATAGTACCCCTAGAATCCAAGCACCTCATCAGAAGCCTCTTAATTCAGTCAAATTGACAATTTAGATTAACTCACACAATACCAGTTAACTTGGAGTTAAAGAAAAAGAAAGGCAAATTTAGGGCTTTAAAATTATAGCTCAAGGCAAAGGTAGAAAACCAAAGAAGTTCTAGATAACTCTGAAATAATTTCTTATTTTTTATAATCACAGGAACAAGATTTCTGCCAAGCAAACACTGAATCTGATTTTGTGGAAATATAAATACAATGTAAATTGAATTAATGACCTTATTAGATAAATTATGTTAAGGGTAAGGGATTAATTGAGAAGAAGAGAGACCATGTGACCTGGAATGAGGACATTTGGGCAGATTCGGATGAATTTCAGAATCCTCAAATTCTGCTGAGCTGCTATTGACATCAACAGGAGTTTTCTCTCTCCTGTCTGAGGAGGTCAGGTTTCCTTTGCCTGAAGATTTAAATTAACTCACCAGAGACATAGACTTGAGGGCCATGTTGGTTTCTCCAGAGCCTTTTCCCCTCCTTTCATTGTTTCCTGACCTGGAAAGCCTGGCAGACTCCAGAGTGATGAGCACAAAGGCTGACCTGGGAGGAGACACTGAAACTGCTTGTGTTGGTAGAAACCCAGGGAATAAGTGTGGAATGAATTTTCGAGATATTAGACCAGAGTAGAAAGAATATAATATTGGGTTGGACTTAATTCATTAATACGGAAGCATTCACCAGTGTGGGTTAATAGGTCAGATTGTGCAGCTGGGAGTGGCTTCAGAGTTTGCTCAGTGCCGAAGACCATGGTCCACTGAATGACATCTTGATGCTCAAGTTTTCCTTTGTAAATTATAGAGGAGGGAAGGCACAGGCTTAGGGAGGTGAGTGCATTGGAGTGTATTTATTACATGACCTACTCCACCTTCCCTAAGGGTGACACAGAGGACGCTGCCTTCACCCAACCATTTAGAAACACTTTGGTATTTTTACCAAAATAGTGAGGATTATTGAAAAGCCCAGCTCCAAGCAGTCACCTGGGGATAAGAAGCTACACTAACATGCAGATATGCATCTGCCTACAGACAAACTTGTAATGAGCCTGAAGAGTGCCCACTCAGCTCAGAGCAAATCATTCTTAGAATAAGTTCATAACAAGAATGATGTGCAAGCACTTGCAAATTGATAAAAAACAGCTGGATGTTTCTACTTCTTTCTCAGCAGAGACATTAAGACAGGTGCAATTTACTGCTGGGAGAAACAGCACGCTGAGTGAGGGTCCTCGGGTCACCATAACTCCTTATCCTTTTTGTCTCTTTGCATCATTTCTGTCCAATAACCCACACATCTAGAAGTCTTTGAAAATGTGATCATTTCTGCCTTGTGAGAGGGGCAGCAGCACCTGCTGAAGGGCTCTGTAGTAGTTTTCCCTTGCAGATGGTTTTGACAGTGGGAGAGATGCCATTTTTGAAACTGGCTGTCTGGATTCACTGGGGCATGATGGGATCCAGGGCAGTGGAGAGCCCTGAGGGAATGGATTTCATCAGATGGGTATGGTTACCATGACAGGAAGCAGAAGAAAGCAGGAAAGGGCAGTGTGACCCAAGGGATCTTTCACAGAACCTAATTGGCCATGGTGTCCTTAGGACTGATCTAGTTGAGCAGGCTGTGAAAGTTTTATTTTGTACAAGGGCAAAATTTCTGAACTCTAGTGAACTGCCATGTGATTTGAGTGGTCTGTGTCCAGTTCCCAGAGCTGAGCCAGTGTGTAGACTCAGAGCCCGTGAGGGGGGCTGCTCTACTGCCAAATGGTAACATGGTGAGTGTTGCTTCTAGCCTTCTCCAAAGGAACAGCGCACCCATATTTTTAAGATCATTGGCCAAAGAATAAGGGTCAGAGAGGAGGGACAATATGATTTTCCTCAGCTCTCTTAAATTCATAGCCAAGGGCGACTCAGGTAACACAAGACAGATTAGCAAGAGAAAAACAAGCAAGTTCATGAACATCTGCAGTACAGATCACTTGTGTGCTGGACGGTTAAGTTGGGAGTCTGGCTGAAATGATACTTCGATAAAGAACTGTGTATGTATGTATGTACTTTTGAGAGAAGATCTTGCTGAATTTCTCAGGCTGGTCTTGTATTTGTAGACTCAAGTGATTCTCCTACCTCAGCCTCCTGAGTAGCTAGGACTGCAAGTGTGTGCCATCAAACCCGGCTCAGAACTGTATATTTTATATTTTTTAAGGAGGAAAGGTTTATTTTAGCTCACAGTTTGTAGATGTTTCACTCCATAGTCAGCTAGCTCAGAACTGTATATTTTAGAGACATGACAAGGCATGAGAGGTGGGAAAACTAAAAGGTAAATTTATGGGAAGAAAGTCTGCTCACAGACTCCTCTAGCCTCACCATAACTGAGCTGATTGATGAGCAAGTTAGACTTTTAGGTGGAAAAAAGGAGTGAGGAGGAAGGCAGAAAGACATCTGTCTTTGTTACTCTCTGTCCTGTTTTTCAAGCAAACAGGCAGACAGCTCTCTTGCATTTTGATTGCTTTCAGATCAATAATCCCTTACATTTTTGGAGAGAAACACGTTGGTTTCCTTGTTAGATCCAGAATTAGCCTTGCCCCATGGGAGAATGATATATTCCTATCACTGCAGCCCTGGGCTTGACTGGTTGAGAGATTTCAGTTCTCAGGGCCGGAAAGCTTCCAGTGGGGGCGTCGGACAAGGTTGGATCATTCTGGAAGCCGAGGCAAGCCACCTAGTCACATGGAGCTTCTCCTGCCACTAAGGCAACAGGAAGAAGGGAGTTAACCATGTTGTCGGGTGATTTGTTCTATCAAGGGCAAAGAAGGTTATTATTCAGTAGGAAGAGTACTCTTGGAACCCAGGAGACTGGGTCACCGCTGCACTCCTGAGGTCTCATACATCACAGTGGAGAGATCAGGGAGTTCCCAGAATCCTTTTGCCCTGAGGTCCAGCTTGAGTGGTTACCAATGGTGGTACTCTGTGTTATGTGGAGGGCACATGAGAGAGCAAAGGCCTTGTTCTCTGCAAGCAGGTGCAGCCACTTGGAGTAGATGTGAGTCATACAGCTTCCTGAAATGCCTCCAAACCAGCCACTTGGTGCTTATAGCTAGCATCTTGGTTGTAGTGTGCCTGATCTTTGCTTTCTCTGCCCTTCTGTGGATGTCATCAGCCCAGAGTCCCGTATTCAGTCCCTCACACTTGGAGCGTATAGAATGGTTTCTGCTTTCCTAACTGAACTTGGTAAACTTGCTCATACTGAACACCTATAATAGTGTAACTTTGAAGTGCTTGTATCCTCAAAATAATTTTTGAATAGCCAAAAGCCTTCTCCCTACCAGGAGTGAGTGGCCATGGAAAGAAGGTGAGAGGAAATGTCCTATTCTGCTGCATCTTTGTTGGCTATTTGTGATTCTTCTCTAAATTACCTGCTTCTCTTTTTTTTACTCTATTTTTTCTTTCAATTTGATTTTGATTCTCTATTTTATTAAAGGAACTCTTTGAATGGTAAAACGATTCTTCATAGACCACATTTGTTGTGAAATATTTGGAAAAAGGAGTGCCCCTCCCCCAACACACATGAACACACACACACACAGACACACACATGCACCCACGCACACACACCCCTTCCAGAGGAGAGAAAAAAATTATTTTCTGCAGTGCTGGGGATTGAACCAAGGACCTCATATGTCTTGGATGATCATTCTACCACTAAGCTATACCCTCAGCCCCTTTTCATTTTTTCTTTTTAGACAAAGTCTTGCTAAGGTGTCGAGGCTGGGCTTAAACTTGTCATCCTCTTGCTTTGACCTCCCAAGTATCTCTTTATCTGTCACCACACAGATCATTTAGGACAAGCCAAGACTCCAATACCCACTCCTCAAGTTGCTCCTAATCACAGCACCCAAGTTAGGGGAAGGAAGTTCACAGATCTTCCTTAGTACTTTACCAGAAATTTTGCAATTTGGGCTTTTTGAATCATTCCCAGCCTAACATTTTGTTCTTTATTTGGTTCAATTCTTTATGTTTTCCTTTTTTCCTTTTTTTTTTTTTTTTTTGGTACCGGGGATTGAACTTGGGTCCTTGCGCTTGCGCAGCAGGTGGCGAAACCACTGAGCTAAATCCCCGGCCCTAATTCTTTGTTTTCTATTGGGCAGAACCCAGAAGGGAATAGAAGCAAATGGTATGATTTGAGGTCCCAACTCTTTGCACAAACATTCCATCCCAGTTGATTGCTTTTTGGTTTTGTTTTAATTTAATGCTTAGTGTTCACCACCTATAGACATTTAAACATTGTATGATGTCAAAACTATCAGTATTGGTGCTGGAAAAATTGGGTTTCAACTTGCCAAAGATTAAAACTAGACCTATATCTCTCACCATGCACTAAACTAAAATTGAAATGCGTGAAGGATCTAAATATTAAAATAGAAATGCTGAATCGACTGGACCGGAGGTTAGGTAGAATTCTTGAAGAGATTGGTGTAGGAAAAGATTTTATAAACAAAACCTCAGTTGTCCATGAACTAGGACAAACAATCAACAAGTGGGATCTCTTCTTATTAAAAAGCTTCTGCATAGCAAGAGAAACCACCAACAGTGTGA